AATAAAAAAGCTAAAGAAGAAGTTAAATCAAAAAACTTGTTTTCAATGTCAAAAATAATTATCAAAAAAAAGTTAATTAATATTAAAAAAAAAAAATTTGAGACTTTTTTAATACTTAATTATTTTACAAAATCCAATTTCTTAATGTTTCTTTTTCAAACGACGACTGCTTAATAATTATAAATATGATTTTTTTAATTATAGATTCACGCCTTATACAGTATACCGTAATCTACCCGCTTGTTGTTGCACTGGACAGCGATTGCACAAAGGAGCTTTAAGCTCATTACTAGAAATCGTTTGAGCACCTACGCCGTCATTGAGCTTTTTGTCGTCCAGTTAAGTTAGGTAAGTGTTGGTAATTCTACCGTTAAATTGTCTCTATTACGACTTCATTACTAAATATTTGCAGCATAACGAGCACACCGTTATTTTGGAGCAAAAATTCCGCATAACAACTAGTCTTCAATTCTTCAATGTACTTAAAGAAAAATCATCATTTCGACTAGCAAGTTCACATTCTCCGAGAGTGCCGATAATTACTGTTAGAAGACAAATTTTTCAGAGCCAAATGTTTGGGAGGTGGTCTGTGTCAGATTTGTTGAGGTAAGTTCATATAAATTTATTTTAATAAAATTTTTTTTTTAATATATCCCACTATTCGGAGTGATATTCCAATAATTTAAGTTTGTAGGTTATATTCATATATTTTTTTCTATCTATTACTCTCTGCATACCTTATCTTTTCCTCATTATTGATCCTTAAAAATTGAATTTCCCTTCTTTTAAAAAAGGCGGCACTGCCATCAGTGATCAAGCTGTAGTATCGCCAGCCTGCGATATGGTTTTTTTAGGTCTCACCAACAATCATTCCATATTAGTTGGGACAACTCAACACAGATCAGTTATACATCTGTTATTGATTGTGGATCTCTGTGATTCTCAGACGATTTTTCTTTGTCTGTGTTCTCGTGGTGTGAAATTTTCAGACTACTTCGGTCAGCCAACCTTACTGCTTTGAAAGTTCTCCATAATGCTCATAACAATACGAATATACAAAATTCTCATAACCTTTGCATGACCAGAACTCTTTGGATACTTATATTTACCATACCTTGTCTTTCGTGTTTCCACAGCTGCCTTCGTGACTTTGCATTAAAATGGAAAATTCTAAGTTAATTACAATCGAATCCGCTTCCTTTTGGGCAGAAAACAGCTTCAGTAGAAACTAGAAAAGCGACCTTATCTAAAACTGTCAAATAAATCTCACAAATTGGCAGCTGCACGGGCAGCTGTATGTGAGGATCTGCTATAATTGTCCGGCAGCTGATTGTACAGCTTCCTTGAATCAGTAACATCCGCAAGCAACCTAATCTAGACCAGTTTTCTAAGCATGCAATTTTAATTGCAAGTCTCAAATGTCCAGCGATCTTGTCAAAATCTAACAAAAGCTAAGATATAGTGGATATTTTATGCTTCCCAGCCTTCTGCTACCAGCGCGGTCACTCTACTTTGTCTCTTAGTGGACAGTCCGCATCGCCGACTCGGCGTAGACACAATGGTATCAATTATCCTTTGTCAAAAAGCAACTATGCTAATACCGTTATGCTGTCTTACTTGTTCGGCAAACATCTTAGACTGTATCACGTTAACATAAGATTACAATTGTGGTCGAAACTAGTTCTCCCCTATGAACCATGTGCAGCACAGAGTGACCGATGGCCTTCGTTGACGTGGCTGTGAAATGGAGCGGCAGCTAGAAAAATAGCCTGCACCCCTTTTTCATTGTTTGATTCATAGCTGAAGTCTTTGTTTGACAGCTTTTCGGCTTTTGTTTTGTTTGGGATGATATAAAATCGTGTGGGGCATCCTATTGTCCGCAATTTTCGGAATTTTATTTTAGAGAAGCTTGGACAAGCTCGTTCTATAATTAAAAGCTGTTTAGGCGGACAGGCTTGCTCACTAACGGCTTTCCTGAGGACCATGTGAATGACAATGTCCAGTGAAATTTTTGAAGGTCATGTGATTTTCCGCGTCCAGTATGCTTTTGAAGGACATGCAACTAGTTCGACCGCATTTTTGTGTAGAGGTTTCTTATAGATCACTGGAAGCTGTGATCAGCATTGACACTATTGTCTTCTTTTTAATAAGCTGTCTAAAATGTGATTAGCATTTTAACGGAAACGCCTTAGCATATGGTTTTATTGTATTTTCTTGTTTTTTTCGAAAGGATAGCTTCTTTTTGTATCCTCAGAAGGGTTAAAATATTTTATTTCAACCAGCCTGTGAACTCCCGTAGATTAAGGATGTACAGATTATTTCTTCAATTTTCTGAGTGTTAGTTCGATGTTAGCCTTTCCACTTTTCACTCAGAAAGTTTGATGTGAACTCTTCATATGCGTTGTTCCGTAGTCGAGTTCATATTTGGTACGGTTGTTTACATTTTTATTAGTTGCTTCATATATTTTAAAGACGAAGTGGTGAGAAGTATGAATCACAATTCTCGATCTTCAATTGATCCGCAGTTCCCTCTATCTATGTATATACGAAATTCCTCCAGTTCTCATAAAACTGCGGTTCATTTTAAAATTTTAAACGGTCTTTCTACTACCTCTTTAATTTTTTGTTGGTTGGTTAAAAAAGAATGTCTCAAAGTCAAACCGCAGGCGACCGAGCTTAAGATATTAGGCCAATTTTGCTGCCGAGTAAGACTCAACTGAGTACCATCTAGGAACTCCGTGGACTTTCTGAAAAATCTAAGCTTTTTCCACGCTAGCTGAAGTCTGAAAAGGCATGATTAAAGAACAAAGGGCTGGAGTATTTCTACTTGAACGGAAATAGACCAATTCATTTTCGTTTATATCGATCTGATCCCGCTTGCTTGATCTTGGAGCTAGTACTAATAAATGTCTAGTGATATTGAAATTTCATACTCCTTTTGAAGAGCTTTAAAATTCATAAGCTCAGCCTCTTCGTGTAGTGAAGATTACTAAGTAGAACTTTCTTCATTTCCTTTTGGAACTTTTGGCTTTGAAAATGCTTAAGATTCGGAGTTTTGATGTTTAAGTAACTTTGCTTTTCTTTCTTCTAGGATTTTTGAGTGTTTTCATGATTCAAAAAGAGTAGGTCACTGTGGTGAGAAAGCTGCAGTTATTGGTCAGTAACTAATATTGGCCATAAGATTTCATTTTCGTTCTATTAACGATGAAATCAGATCACAGAGCAATAAAATATCAACGCTGCACTAGCTTAAAACATTGCGTAAGGATCAGCATGGTGTATTTGGTATTTTTTGTGAAACCGCATATAAGCTTTTGGTCTATAAAAGACGCTGATCAAACGGTTTTCTTATGACACTTATTGGTGGCCGATTTAAAGCATTTGATGAAGTAGAATTTTTAAGCTACTTATGTCGTAAAATAGCTAAGTGGGCTCTCTAACGAGAGCTTAGTTTAGTAGAAAAGAAAGTCAAGTTCGTCTATCCCATATACTGGAATATTTGGAACCTTGAATTTATCAGCTTCGCCTACTTCGTAATGGATTAAAATATCAAGGAATTGTCACTCATTTTATGTAGTAGACCAGTTCGCTAAGTGATCCCAAACTAGACCAAATATGATCAGCACGATCAACTTGATCACTCCAAAAAAATTATTTTAGCACAAAATATTAAAAGATGAATGAATGTACTGCCCAAAGTTCAACCTTACGTCATTGTAATGGAATGTACTTGTAAACAAACACACACACGAATGCATAAACTGACAGATGAGATAGTCAAATTATTCAATGAACTGCGAGAATATGAATGGCATAAGGGGACGAAAATTACATGACTCTCAAGATAAGCGCTTACAAGTAAAAATTAACAACAAAAAAAACAAAAACACAAAAATAAAAATAAAAAAATACCAAAGAACAGATAAGAAAAAAGAGAAGGAAAAGTTTTTGTAAATTTCGTAAGAGTGTTGCCGCCCGAGAGAGTTGCCGCCCGAAGATTAGAAGGGCTCCAACAATTTCCTATATGTCATTAAAGGCAAACAGTAAGATGAGGGGCGATATGAAGGCGATAAAAGGAAAATAGAATACGATGAAAATTAAAGAAATGGAAAATTACATTACGAGCGCGAAAAGATATCACAAAAGTGAAAAGCGTATGGAGTTTTATGCGCTCAATTCGTGTGTGTGCCTGTGTGTATGTTCAAGTAGATTGCAGTGGAATTCGAAGAATGTTGAAAATATGATAAAGCGTAGGAAGTAAAGTCGAAAGCGCATATGCACATGTGTACCTATTTTATTGCATAATTCTTTTTAAACACATTTAGCAAGGGTTAGGGTTAAAAAATATCTTTCGTACTTTTTTTTATAATTAAAAAATTTTTTGTATTTTTATACCCTGAACAGGGTATATTACGTTTGTCATGAAGTTTGTGAAACCCAAAAAGAAGCGTCGGAGACTCTTTAAGGTATATAAAGTGTGATCCATTTCGTAGTTCACTACTTTTTTTCACCGTTCCACGAAATCACACCAAACCGTTGTTTTGATGGATGAAATTTCAGCTCTTGAATCTCTTCAGGTTGTTCTCCGTACCAAATAGAGCAATTTTGCTTGTTTACATGCCCATTGAGCCAGATATAGGTCTCACCGCTGAACAAAATTTGACTCGAAAACGTCAGATCTTCTTGGTATTTTTCAAGAACCCATAGAGCGAAGCGATGCCGCTTGGGAAGGTTGTGCGACTTCAGTTCTTGTACAATCTGTATTTTGTACGCTTCATTGTAAGATCTCGACGTAAAATGTCGCAACTTGTTCTATACGTCAATCCGTATTCGTACGTTGCTACGAACGGCCCCGAATCTACTCTATACGATCTTGTGTATACTCTCGGTCGAATATTATCCTTTTCTCCGCACATGAAGCTACTTATTTGTTAGAACCGCCGATATTGGACCACTCTATTATTTATAAAAATGTATCTCTGAAGTGGAAAAAATTTGTTTGTTGCAGCCTTAGAAAAAAGCTTTCTACACACTGAAGTCTGTTGTACCATACAATATGATTTGTACTCTACAAAGCTGCTATATAGGCATTGAGCTTAAATGTATTGTATGCTTAAAGCTAGTCAAGGATTGTATGACTTCGCTGCTGTGGCAATTGTCGGAAAATGTAAAGCTGATACGCTCGCTCGTAAGGACTTTGTTTGTTTTCATTACATTTGGATTTGAAAAATATTTTTTTATTAGAAGCCAGAATTATTAATTTTTGATTGTGGCGTTTAAACATAAAATTAAAAAAATGGAAAGTGTTTAAAAATGAAATTCCAGTGACATATTTGCAATAAATAAATTAAACATTTTTTTAATATCAATTTATTTTATTTTTTTAAATAGTTTTTTTAAATATAAAAAAATGTTATTTAAAAAAATTATAAAAAAATTATAATTACAATTAATTTAAAATAAATTTAATTTTTTTAATTTAAAAAAAATTATTTTAAATTTTTACAAAAAAAAAATTAAATTTTTGGCATTTTTTTTAATCTTTTAATACATTTTTTAAGAAATTTGTAATTAGGTAATTTCTCCAAAATTCTGAAAATTAAATT